TGATGCAAAGGTTAATGATAAACTTTTGATCAATGTATATGTTTTAGTATTTCCAGAATTTTAAGCATAAAAGAGATTATGTTATAATTTTTTATGAGGTATTTATCATTTTAGAGTATTTTTATCGCTTTTTAATTTGATGAGAACAATTTTTTTTTTAATAGTGTGTGTGGAAGGGGTATTAGGTTAGGCTTGGCTTGGGTTAGGGTTAGGCTTTATTCAAACACTAGGTATTTCTTTTTAAGAATACTAAAATGTTGTGTTATTAGTTGTCAAGATTATAGTTTTTTAGCAAACGCTAGGGAGTTTTTTTTATTTGAGCTAACTCAAAGTTTAAGTTCAAATCTGAGCCAACTGGGTTTTAAACAATGTAGAGCGTTTTTGGTCGGTGCAACAGTCAATTGCATACATATGTTTTTATTTGTTTGCTGCTAAACGTTCACGCGTTGACGTCGTTCTTTGTATGTTTATCTGCTCTTAGGTCAAGGATGACCACGGCCCACGAATGCTATTCCACCGTGGTTAATATAACAGGTAAGATTTACCGAGACTTGCGACGTAAGTTACAGTTTAGGTTAGGCTGAAGTGCGGGGCAAAAAAAGATATCCAATTGTCCAAAATAAGTTATTAAGTATATAATATCGTTAAAGTAACAAAATGGGTAAAGTAGTATACTCGCCTGTTATACACTTAAGAACATTTTTTATTAATGTATCCACTATAACCTGCTTCAATAATCTCCATATACTTTGTCATCTGGAAATTGTGGTGTTTTGACATGGTTCGATTTGACTGCTATCAACTAGTCGATACTCTACTCCTTCCTAATCTCGGCCACGATGAATAACCTCGTTGTGCGTGCTACAAGAAGCATATAACAATAACGACTTATTATTTTCATTATAGTTTACAAAAACATTATACGACAATGGCTCGGCGAATTGTAGTATCCTTCTCCTTTAGATGGATCATTTTTATTTAAAATGTATCATCATGGAAAAATGCTTTTTTGCTTTCTTCCCATTATATGTACAGGATGATTCAGTAAGGATATTATTAAAAAAGCAACACGTGGTTTTAGATTATGCAAAAGACTACCTCGCCCGAGATGCAATTCATATCGGAAGATTTTGGAATAAAAGCAAAATAGCTGCCTGTGATTAAATCGATTTTAATCGCAAAGGCTGATATTTTAACTATATAACACTTGAAATAACGTAAAAAAATGAAGTGACGGGCAATAACTAGCTATATACTTATAAAAAATGATATATTATTAATTTTTAAATTTCCAATCGTACTAATAACTAAATTTGATTGAAAAATGTATTTGGCGCGTTTTGTTTTATCAAAATATATTTACTTATCTGTATAATTATTATCGTTTTTTTAATTAATTATTACTCACCTCTCCAAGTCGTATACTCTATGATTAACTAATGCACTACAGAAAAACCCGATAATTCGAAATTAATAGTTGAAAATTTTCGTAGAGTTTAGTTTTTATAATTTAGTTTTATCGTAAAATAAAAACGTAATAGTAATAATTTATTTAATCCGACACCAATAATTACATAACTGTTAACAATAGCTATTTATTTTACATATCTAATGTGTTTTTAATAATTTGTATATTTTAAAAGCAGTTTAGTTAATAGATTCTAAAAACATTAGCACCCCAAACACAATTAACGAAAAATGTCGTAAAATTAATAGTATTATTGCATCGTACACGTATGTACATTAATTTAGTAGAGTTTGACAGATGTGATTTATTTGTTCTTATTTTCATGTCATTGTATCTTGAGGCTGTGTCTTTTTATAATGTAAAATAACAACCAAAAATTTTTTCAAATATAAAAACTGCAATATTGCAATTATTTTATGAGAAGCGAGGCCATACGTATGTAGTTAACCAACTCTCATAGAATTTGTATGTACAGCTAAGAAACCCCTATGTAATATTTTTTGTTAAAATATAAAGAAAAAAAGGGTTTTTATTTAAAATGTCCACCTTCCTAAACCATTTCCTAAATGTCATCTGAAAGATAACGTTTGACTATTTTTACCACCGCCTACATAGTATAACATTGAAGTATACGTTTAACGACACAGTTCGATATAAAAATATATTAATCTCGTTTTGCAACGTTTTTTAATTTTTTATTAATTGTTTTAACGCGCACAATTATGTGCTTACGTGTAAAACTACTCAACGTAATTCGCACTAGTGTTTGCATGTGTTTTCCACCGTCCTAACCTTCAATTTATTTATTATTATAACAAAGAAAAATCGCATTTTTGTGACAAACATACCTTGTGAAATAACAACCCGCTAGTCACCACAAAATACCATCCCCTCCAAAAAAAAACTGCTTGACTAAAGATTGCAAAATTTTCAAAATAAGTTTTAACCGAACGATTAAAATATATCAGCTAACAACCCCGTTTTTGGGCACCAGTCCAAACATCCGGCTTCCCATAACTTAGTACCTTAAACTAACCTATAAAGATAAATACATCAATTATAACTAGGGGTCTCGGTTTCGTACGTGAAATAATACATACGTGATCACGGTTCCGTGATCACGTGAATAAAAGTAATATAAAATCCGTATGTTTAATTCACGTGAATACGTTGTACAAAATTCACGTGATCACGTATATTAATATTATTCACGTGATATTCACGTATTATCACGTGAATAAAATTTTTAATTCACGTAAATCACGTGAATTAAATTTTAAATTCACGGACAATTTCCAATCACGGGTCTTATAAACTCGTGATTAATTTCACGTGAATCCATGAGCCGTGATTCACGTGAAATAGGGAGCCCTAATTATAACGATCGTTTTTTGAAAATTTAAGAAAACTTGCACTCGAATTAGAAAGGAATTGTCGTCTTCCAACTATATTTCTTTTAAATTTAAATTTAATTTAGGAGATGTGGTGTTTTTCTTGACCAAATAAACTAGAATATCAAACAAAAAATCGGTGTCGTGTCATCTTATCATTTAGCATAACATTCACTTGCATTTCATTGGTCTATTAAAGAATTTGTTTATACAATAAATATATTACAACACATGCGATGTGTGTGAACGGTCACGATTTTCTTTATTAACCAAATTCGCTAGATAATTCATTACGGATCACAATAAGATAATAAACGTTATCTAAGATAATAGCTCTATTTATAGTGTATCAAGATTGGAAGCGACGAGTGTGTGTGTGTGTTCCTTGTCAACTTTTATCACTGACGTCCGATAGTACTAGCGAATTACAGTATATTATAATTATTATTATATTATTATTATTACTTTGATAAACGGGATTGTATAGTTCTTTTAATAAGTTGTTTTTTCTATAGACTCGCGATGGTCGCATTAAATGAATTGTTATATTTTACTGTTAACATTTTATATAATACGTCAATCAAGATTTACTGTATGACGTTTATTTGAGGACTTATACGATGGATTAATCTTACAGTATGAATGTATACTGTTTGGTTGAAGATGTTCTATACACTAAGTTTAATGTTCTAATGTTTTATTAATAAAAACACACTTTGTAAAAGTCCATTAATTCTCTACAGCTGGCTTTGCTATAACTTCAATTTAAAATTACTGCTCTGGGATACGATAATAGATTGTAATAGGTTTTCTTTTGTAACAAAAAAAAAAAAATTTTAATTTACTTATGCTGCCATTTGGATTTTTGCTTTAACTTGGATCATTGACTGTAACTTCTGAAGACTGGTGCGTTTCCCAAAATATACATTCTTAGTTCTAAAAATCGTTGGGTGTCGTCATTATGAAGTAGACGGAGAACTTCTTATTATTTTTTTTAAGTTACGCAAAACACTGTATGTGTAAAATAATTCTAAAAATCATGAACTTTTTTATGTGTTAAAATAAATAAACCCATTTCTTTACACCCATTGTAAAGTAAAGAAACTTGGGCGATTATGTTTTTTTGTAAAATTTCAAGAAGAGGTTTTTTTTTTTTAAAAAAGTCTTCACCATAAGAATAAAATCTTGTTTGTGTTGAGATTTAAAAACTCTAACGTGTCATAGAATTAAACATTATGTCCTCTGTAATACTAATTTAGTTGAAAACTTAGATGACATTTAAAATTAGGTTGGGTTTATGTAAAATTATTTTTAGGTACTTATATGTGTTGATACTTACATTTGTTGAATGATTTCAATAAAATTATACGTGTGGAGGTCTAGACAATATTAGTAAGTCTTTTGATAGCAGAATACTTGGTCACGCCAAGCTCCGAATATATGTCCACGCAACTGTATCAATAATATACTTGAATTTTTTTTTTAAATATATGGACCGTTACACATTTATTATGAATTTCTGTAACTTTTTTTTTAACAAACTCGTAGATAAAACAAATAAACAATAACAGGTCATCTACTTTTGGCGTTACCGCCGTACGTTGACGGACAGAAACGATTTCGAAGCTCGCGGTCAATTAGTTAACAGGTCAGTCGACGGGTTTAAGTTTTATTGTTACTTAAAACAAAACAAAAATAAAAGCAATAGCGTCGGCTACGTGCTGGTTGGCTGGCAATACTAATAACTAATAAGCAATATATTATTATTATTATTTGACATTCTGTGCGTCCTCCGGACGAAACTTCTCTTGTAAACGCCTATTAAATGACAATTGGAACATTATAGAAAAGCGCGGCGGCGGCCAACGCTTAATGACTAACGTTAGTTTTCGTGCCGGAGATGCATACGGCCGCGCCCTCCCTACCGGCACCTTCTTGTGTTATGTGCATAATTTGTTTTTTTTTTGGTCCATCGGTCTTAGTGAGTGCTTGTCGTCAAAATACCGGTATAAAACACATAACCAATGATAATTAACGTCGACGAAGGCCATAGCGGTCGCAATTATCTTGCCTACGATATCCGATCGCGATTTATTTATTTTTGGTGCTAATGTAGTTTTGTATATTTGTTTGTCTAACAGGTATGGACGCGTGCAGAGCGTTAAGATATTGGCGAGATCGAAAGAAGAGGTGGCGTTGGGCGGCAGTGGTGTGTGCGCCACCGTGTCGTTTATGGACATCAAGTCAGCGTCGAAAGCGCATAACGTCGAGCAAAAGTTGGACGACAGGTGTCTCAGCACCGAATACCACGAGCCCGCCGCCATACCATCGGCAAGCCCGACCATACCGTCGCACATGTATCCGGCCCCAACCCGGCCTTACATCCACGGGTAAGAGGAAACTTAATACATGTTAAAATATGTTTTTCACCATTCAACCCCGCCGCCCTTCCCCCGATCACAACAAATATAAGTCTAACAAAGTTTATGAGAAATCGATAAAGATTTGTTGGTCGTAGTGGAGATGGTATCGATGACGGTTAAACGTCGTCGCAAGAGACAACAATTTGATTAAAAAAATTATCTGAACCAATGAATAGTTTTTTTACGAAACCAATACGTTTGTGACACTTATCGCCCACGCTTAACTCAAATGGCAAACCCAGTTGTTTCAGAAAGTTTATTCAAGCCACTGACTACAATAGAAAAATACTACACTACTTATTACATTCGATACAGGAAAATGTTTGTTAAAAACACTTAATTTAGAGCTAACGTACTACTTAGTTTTCTATATTTATTAGGATAGTATTGCAGACACTATTGGTAGTTTCAATTGTGCCTTCTGAGAGGTCTAAAAGGAAGAGATCATTAGTCGGACAAAAAAAGTGTACCGCGTATACTTAAAAATGTCTTCACCCTGTTAATAAGCTGAGCACCCTTAGCACGTCTGGGATTTACGCTTGTGCTAGTTTGTATATGAATTACAGTGTCGACACTCGACACTGCTATACGTCGTTGAAATTTTAATTTACAAGATCCTACTGAAAAATAAAAACCGAAAGTGATTTCTCCTTGCCACTTGATTAAGACTTGTGACTAGCGCAACTTAAGTTGTGCATAGTTGGCACAGTTCAAATTTGCTGGTTTTCGTCATCAGGCTAGAGGTCTTTATGCTTTTTATGGCAAAATCAAAACTAGTTTTATTATTTAAATTCCAATTGTATATTTACCCAAATCTATACCTAATATTATGTACAGACTTTGTTGAAATGATCTAATCTTAAAATTGTTCGATTTTATACTCGAAACAAACATTTTAAATTGATTACTTTAACAGTGATATTAGTAATATATATTAAGTAAATTGTATTAACTTCTGTATTATAGTGTGGTGTAATATATTAATTTTTGGGGTTGTGGTCTATTATTGTTAGCTTTTGCAATAACGTCTAGTTAGTCGTCTGCTTCTTAACTCAATACCGAAATCGTCGGGTTTCATTCGTTCAATTCATTCGTTTTAGCGAATTTTTTTAATGACAAACGAATTTTATTTGTTATTTTTTTTGCTATATTTAAAAAAATGTCTGGACATTTAATATTCCCCATTAACTTCGGATAACAACAGTTATTGTTATGGTTTTGTTTTTTAGTGTCACATTCGTGTAGGTATAACCAACGTTAACGAACCGCCAAATATTTCATTGCTGTTGTTACGAATAATATATAATAATAATAATAATAATAATATATTTGATGTACTTGTGTAATGTATATTTATCCCGTTAAACAACAATAATAATAATAATTTGTATAATGTATATAAATAATGTGTTTTCTCTCGTTCTCTATATGCTTTGATATAACTTTTTTATTTTTCTTGTCTCGATAAAACCTAAGTCGTTAAAGCAATTATGCTTATAAATAAAATTACAGTAAATGTCGTTAAATTTTGTCCGTGCCATAGAAAAATTGGTAACATATGTTATGTCCCTCCTCCCTAAATGATTCAACACTTAACCTTTGCGGATAAGTACAACCTTAACGTTATAATGGGTGTACACTTTACAAATATATATATATATGTTCTTTTTTTTTTTGTATTTTTTATATTATGACCCTCGACGTGCATGTGCTACTAAAACAGTAGACTTCGACGGTTTTTTTTTTTTAATTAACACCTCGATTTAACCTTTTCTCGGTATTTTTTTGTTTTCTTAAACAGCGACAGGATCCTCTTCGATTTTAATACTTTATAGTAATTGTTGTTTGTTTTGGATAGAAAATGTTGTTGTTCCAATGCAATAAATATGTTAAATTGTTTGCTAGTAATAATAATTATTACCAAGTACAGGAATGTTTACATTTAATACTGCTTTTGACATCGAATAACAAACGCCCATCAGGCGCCGGAAACTGATAAAAATTAACACGGGGAAGTTACTTATCACACAAAAACGATGCGGCCATGTTCTAAACTTACTATAATCATAATAAATGATATCTATACATTATTATTTTTAGTTGTGTTTAAATATAATTTATTATGATTATAGCACGTTTAGAACATGCTGCCACGTTTTTTTTCACATCGAAACTGTCCTTTCTGATCTCATTTATTTTGTGCGCCTACCTACTGCTGCATATCACAAAATATTGTTATCTCTGGTTGCTAATAGAAGATGTCAATGATACTAAAAGCTTTACGTAGGCTTGATACACATATTAATATAATGTGTCAAATGTCAATTATACAATAATAGGTACAGCCGTTTTGTAATTACCAAAAAAATAACATAAAGTATTGATTGTTTTAGAATTGAGTGTGTAACGTATGTATATACAAATGTTGAGCACCAATTTCTCCTTTTTTATAGAATGGTATATAATGCCGAGTGACAACTCACTATCTGCCCTATGACGTGTTATTGAAAAGCCCTACAAAACGATAATTAAGGGTTAGGCCAGTTACATTGATAAGAGAATGATAAATAATAATGGTCATTTTGAGGATATACTTAAGTGCATCATTCGGATGCTGTCTTATAATTTAATGGAGTACACTATTGAAATAATTTACACGGGTTAACATAAAGTGTAGGCCTTGCAAGAATTGACTTGTTAGTGCTTGAACTTATCCTGCATAGTTGCAGGTCATTCTGATTGGAAATTGAAAACCCTTTAGAAAAGACGTTTCTTCTGTTAAGGCAGCTGATTTTTAATTTTTCTGTCAAAATAGTTTATATAAACTACTACATAGTATAATAAATTGTGGTCAGCATTTTTATATGAGAGCCGTAATGCTCATTTGCCGAAAGGCGGTTCTGAGGTGTTTTAATTAGAAAATCACCGACAGTGCATAACACGTTAAATATGTATAACTTTGCCGGAGCAACCCACAATAAACGATGGAATTTCAAATGAACCTTATCTTTTTATTTCCGTCGTGATAAAGTTATCGGATACACAACAACATAAGCAGTTATTATTGTTTGTAATGAGATCGGTGTGCGTGTAAACACAATTTCAAAATAGCACGCTCGCGCAAATTGTGTTACTCATTTCATTATTCTGATGGTGAATATTTTATTATATATTCATATGTAACATAAATACTGACAATACGTGAATAAAAAAAACAATTATCGTTTCGACTCTGAACAGTTTTTGTAAGTTAAACGGTTGTTTTTTGTTTTTCAAAAACTATGTTCTTAACCAATATTTTTTGTGAGGAATGTGTTCTCCTAAGTGCCAACAGCCGGTTGTCGTTATTTCGCATGTAGTAAACAAACAAAACAATATGTATGTAAAATTTGTAATTTATCAATATAGTAAATAGGGAACCGCGGAAATAGCGATGGCACGATTCAATGGTTTTTTCTTATTTTTTTAAACTTCTATACTATTTTTCCTGTCGTCGTCCGTCGCTACACTATTTTGTTTTCTGTTTTTGTATAGTAAAAATTTGTATTTCAGTCGTCGACACTCATGGAAAACAACAATAGACGATTAGTAAAATATTAAAAATAATAATAACGGTGTCGAACAACGGGTGCATCGTTACGCTATTGAGAAAGTCAAAAATATATTTTGTACTCGATTCAACCTAAATTTCCTAAACTTTTTTCGGATAGTTTTTTAGTGTATAATTATAATATTGTAATTATTAATAATAATAGAGAATACGTGAGCCATTTATTTTTGTTTACACCTTACAGGGGGTAATAGTATTAGTTGGGAACATCACAGAACAGTTATGTCGCTCATTATTCGATATTGGTCTTTGTCATCTAATTAATCTACAACTTTATAATAATATGTCTAATAGTTGATCCATAGATAGGACTACTTTTTTCGGTGAATTTTAAATCACGTTGCTTATGTAATAACTTGTAATTGTCAATTAATTTGTTGTTTAAAAATTAAAATTAAGTACATCAAGGTTGTAAAATAAAGTATTTAAAACGAATTTAGGATAATTTAATTTAATTTCAGAACAGTTATATTTCTTGGTAGTTAAAATTAAAATTAACAAGCCATTATTTCAAATTCAGGTCTAATAATAAATTATTCCAAGCAAAATTTTATTTTATACAGCGAATATATTTTTCAAATTTGTTTTTTTTAAATAAGTTAGTACTGTTAGGTCGGCACATGGTGGAGTTGGATTATATTACTGAGTGATAAAAATCACTTAAAAATATAATGAAAATATTTGTAGAATACTCGTTGACTATTGATTTACTCACACATAGCAATCTAGAAATTTACTACGGTCAGTGTAATTTTCCTTTTTTTTGCTTTCTGAAAGAGGAAGCTACGGTTCTATGGATTTTCTTTTTCAAATATCGGAATTAGAGTAAGACCATAGGTATTGCAATCAAAATTTGAACAACTTGACATTCTATCCATAGATGTGTGTTCGTTTGGTAAATTCCTATAGCCTTTGATAGCGACTTAGTTGAAAATTATTTATAATTTTTGTTTTTTCTTTTTTAATTGGGGAAGAGGTTAACATTTTTAATTTTTGGAACGTGTTGTCTATTAGCAATTCAATGACAAATTTTGTTGTTGTCGAAGTTGCATTGGCAATGAATCGAATTGATGCAAGTCGAAAAAGAACACAAATGGTGGTGTTTACGGTATTCAAAATACAACCGTTTCATTGCACACGTGTACAGTGTAATCAGTCGTGTACAGTCATCCCGGCTGTTATTACAGAATATGTATAATAACAATAATAATACCATGTATTTAAGTTTTAATGTTATATTATGTACATACCGTGTTGAGGTCGAACTGTTGGTTTAACTGCGTACGATAATCACGACCAACAACGCATTATATATATTATGTTATATTATATTACATTATAATTTTTTATTATATTG